AAAAAAATACTAAAACTGTTACCAAAATTTAAAGAAAAAACTGTGTATTTGATGACCACAGTAAGCTATATAGCCCCAGCTAGGTACCATTTTATAGTATGTTCATTCTACTCACTGAGGTTTATGCCTAAAGTCAGACATGGGTTCTTGTGTATGTAAATATCAGCTGTGCTTGCTATTGCAAATATTTAGACAAATTAAGTTCATTAGCAAATCAATTAAATGGAGGGGATAGGCATAGAAAGCAAACAGGGATAACAGAGACAATGGGAGGAGGGGTGGACAGGGCAGAGGGTTAGGGATAGGGAATCAAGGATGGCAAAAAAAAAAGGCAAAATATACAAGACATAAGAAATGAAAAATTGTTTGTTGATAACACGTATGTTGATGTGCTTGATTGAGCCCACAGACAGTGTATTTTGGATGAAAAATTCATTTTGTATACTGTAATGATGTATAGCATATTAATGTTAAAAAAAGAAAAATAAATTAAAAAAAGAGAGAAATTAAAACATTTGTCCACACTAAAACATACATACAGATGTTCACTGAGCAATAATCCTAATAGCCAAAATTAGATACAATTGATGAACAGACTAACAAAATTTGCTATATCCACAGAATGGAATATTATTCAGTAATAAAAAAGAATGAAGTACTGATTCATCCTACAATATGGATGAACCTTGAAAACCTTATGTTGGGCCAGCAGTTGGCATAGCTTTTATGTTGCTGGACTCCCACATGGCCAACAATGGTTCAAGTCTCGGACCTAAGCTTTGAGTCTCAGAGTAAAACTCAGGTTGGGTTCATGTGTGTGTGTGCCCAAGATCCCAGGAGGAGAATGGAGAAGGGATTGTGGCATTCCCCGGGAGGGTGATTTCTTACTTTCCCTCTCACTGTTTCTCTCTCTCTCTCTCGTGAGCAAATGTGCCCTAAGGCAAAAATCACTACAAAAGGAAGAAAGCAAGCAAGCTAGCCTTATGTTAAGTGAAAACAGTGACAAAAGACCATATATTATGTGAATACATTTATATAAAATGCAGGTTACTGGTTCCTAGGGCTAGGGAAGGAGATGGGAATTTGACTGCTAAAAGGTAAGGGGCTTCTTCCTTCTTAAAGTAATGATATTTCTTAAAATTAGATGTGATAATGGTTGTGCAACTTTCTAAATATACTAAAATCCACTGATTTATATACAGTTTAAATAGGTGAGTTTTATATAATCAAATCTCAATAAAGCTATTACATAAAACTATTCAGAACTATACACCTAAGAGAAGATAAAGAAGGTAAAAGAATCTTTAAAATAGTATTAAGGGGGCTAGAAGGTGGCCTGGTGGTTGAGGGTGCTGGACTCTTACATGGTCGACTGCGGTTTGAGTCCTGGACCTGGCAGCTTGCTTTCTCACTTTCCCTCTCGCTCTCACGCTCTGTCCCTCTCTGGTCAAATTAAAACAAGTAAATAAATAAATAAAGTTAAATCAAATAATTAAAAAATAAGATTAAGAAGGCTAAATCTTAAAGTGCAAACATAAAACAAAAAGGTCACTTTCAAATACATTCAGACGAAAAGCTGAATGAAGAAGAAATAGGTCTCTGCCTTATGCCAGCAGTATAATAATAATAGATAAATGACAAAAAGGTAAAATTCCTCACTTACTGTTTTTGCTTCTTCCTTCTCAGTTCTCAAGAAGGTACTAAGACCAATATGAGTAAAGCAGTAGTAAGTGAGAACCTAACTACTTTAATAAGGGTTCAAATATCTTTTTTTTTTGGAGAGATTTTCGCTATAGGGTGCATGTGCTCGCCAGACAGACAGAGAGAGACACAGAGACAGAAAGCGAGAAATCGCCCCCCAGGGGGGATGGCCACGCCGCAATCCCTTTTCCTCCATTCTCCTCTCGGGATCTTGGGCATGTACACACACGTGCCCGGCGTGAGTTTTAAGCCACCGGGTCTGGGACGCGAACCGCGGTTGACTATGTGGGAGTCCAGCGACATAGCCATTATGCTAACTGCTGGTTCCCAGGGTTCAAATATCTTATACCACATGAATTATAGCCAAGGGAACTGAGAGTAATTTCAAAAAAGATCATTAAAGCTATGTCAATTATATTTGAAGGATTACAGAGAAAGATGTTCCATAAGACTGGGCAGATGTAGTTTCAGTTTCCAAAAAAGAGGTAAAAGGTAATTCCAGAAATTACAGACCAGTGAGTTTGATATAAGTCTAGAATGAATTATTATAGGGACAGCTTGCAAGAACCTGGAAAAGGAAGATTAAGCACTAGAAGCCAGCCTGAATTCACTAAGAAAAAGTCAATTTAGGTTAATCCTTATTTTTCTTTTAAACAGTTACTAAGCTGGTAGGTATGAGAAATATGGTAGACATAGTATATCTGAATTTAGCACAACATTTGATGAAATATTTAAGAACACAATTGAGAAACAGGAGCTGGACATTAATTTTTGTTATATAAATAATCACTTTAAGGACCATTCTGATGCATGCAGATTACTAGGTCACTAGCATGCTAGTTGAGAGGTTTCAAATAGTGTACACCATAGGGTTCTTCTTGCCTTGGGAGCTTCATCATTTAAATCCCACAACTTGAGTGAAAGTATGGAAACCAAGCCAATGAGGTTTATATGTGACAATATCTGGAAGGGATAGTGAACACTTGAGATGAAAGAATCAAGAGGTTGATTTTAATCTTAAGTAGTTGGGAGTAAAATAAAACAAACTAAAACTAAAACTTGCCTGGAGCAGATAAAATCAAACTAAGGGCCAGATCCAAATCTCATACCTGAATAAGGAAATGAGTGCAAGGCAAAGAAACAGTTTTTCACTATTTCTGAAATCAGCCTCAAACTTCAATTGTAGTTATTGTCAGAATGTGACAGTCAAGACACCAATGATACCAATAAGAGTATTAGAAGTTTTTATCTACAAATGTGATCTTAATTACTCTCTCACCCTCTTTTAGACGATCCCCTTCAGCTTTGGTTTTCTTCTGCCTTTCAGATCCAGCAAGGTCTACAAGATGCAGCTTGGAGCGAAAGCTGCTATTCCTGTGATAATGACAGGAAACCATAATAAGAATGGTATACAAGCTTAAAAGCAGTTGAGCATCAAAGCTGACTAGACAGCTATCATTTTCAAGTTAACCAGAATAACTCCATTGGTCACTAGTGCTTACAGATCCAGGAATCTAGGGGCTGGCAGGTGGTGTGGTGGATAAGGGTGCTGGACTCCCACATGGCTGACTGCGGTTGGAGTCCTGGACTTGTCGGCTTGCTTTTTCACTTTCCCTTTCTCTCTGCCCCTCTCTCTCACTCTGTCCCTCTCTGGTCAAATTAAAATGAATAAATAAATAAATTAATTAAATGTAAAAAAAATCCAGGGGTCTAATGATTTGTCAGATCAATTAAAGAAGCAGTCTAATAGTCAACCTTAACAGAACTAACATTTTAAATACCTTGACTTTAAAAAAATTTTTTTTAATTTAATTTTTTAGAGATTTTTCCTATAGGGTGTGTGTGCACAACAGAGAGACAGGGAAACAGACAGAAAGGGAGAAGTCAGCCCCCAGAGGGATGGCCACACTGCAATCCCCTCTCCTCCATTCTCTTGGGATTTTGGGCATATATGCACACACACCTGGCATGAATTTTAAGCCACCAAGTTCAGAACTCAAACCATGGTCGACTATGTGGGAGTCCAGCAATGTAACCATTATGCCATCTTCTTGTTCCCAAATCTTGTCTTTTTAAATTGTAACTTACTTGTCATTTTTCTTTCTTTGCTCTATGGAGATTGTGAAGATAGCATGAGATCGAGATGACTGGGAGTTCATAGCTGTTGAGGCCACAGTCCTAGAGTTATTGCCCTGCTCCAAACAGGAAACAGTATCCAGGGCAACTAAAACAGTCTTCTCAGTGAGTCCCACAATCTAATTTTGAGAAAGAAAAAAAATTGCCTTAAGATTCATACTTCAAATCCTTGATCAGAAATGGTGGTTTAAAAAATGCCTTGATGTTCTAGTTGACCTTCATAAATAGAATAAATTGTAATGAAGACTTTTTTTAATACTTCATTTAACATTAATTAATTAATTAATTTTAATTTGACTAGAGAGGGACATAGAGAGTGAGAGATAGAGGGGGAAAATGAGAAAGCAAGCTGCCAGGTCTGAGACTTGAACCACGGTCAGCCATGTGGGAGTCTAGCACCCTTAACCACCATGCCACCTGCCAACCCAAGGACTGTTTTAACTAGCAACTATGTGACAATCAACGGAAAGCAAGGTATCCAGTCTTCCCTAGGAATTTCTGAAACACAGCTGTCAGCCACTACTGGAACCAGAGAAGATCTCTATATTTTGGGCATCAATGGCTTAGGTGCCTTCCAGGGAGCCCCAGTGAGGGTAAATTTTAGACCTAAGGAAAGCAAGTACAATAAAAATAGCTATGGTTTTTCTCTGTTACTTTCTTCTCCATGTGACTGTATGATTCTTCCCTGTACCTCTGACCCATTTTATAGCTCATTTTCACTACAGGAAATAGCCCATTACAGTTTCTGCCGGATTAAAGAAGCCAGAAAAAAAATGGTCTCCAGCTTGTTATTGTATCTATCTGGGAAAATTTATACAAGTCAAAATCTATTGGAGCCTCTAGAGGGATTGGACTAGATATTTGTGAAGTTCCTTCTAGCCCCAATATGCTATAATTTTATTACTCCATAGCTCCTGTACCTACATCTGTGGCCCTAATTTCTCATTCTCTATTTCTAAATGCCTGCTTCTTATACTTTACAAACCAAATTCATTCTACCACTGATTCCCTCAAGTACTTCATTTCCATTAATATTCCTATTCTCTAATGGAAACAAAATCACGGATAGAAGGAACAATGTCTAGTGTTATAAAATACAGGGGGGGACTGGTTAAGAACTTTACATAACGTTACAAATGGTTGAGATGATGGACATACTAATTACTCTAATTTAATCATTACACATTATATTCAAGTGCTAAAAAAAATCACATTTTTAATCCTTGTTATATATTTTTAAAAATAATTTTTATTGCATTTCTATGATTTTAAAATTTATTATAATTTTATTATTATTTAAGTTTTCTACAGGACACGTGCAGTCACCAGAGAGAGATGGACAGAGAGAGAGACAAAGAGAGAGAAAAAGTGAGAAAGCAAGATGCCAGATTCAGGACTCTAACTGAAATTGGCCACGTGGGAGTCTAGCACCCCAACCACCATGCCACTCAATGGCCCAATGCTTGTTATATTAATAAAAAAAATGAACTTAAAAATCCCATCCCTCCAGATCCCATCTATAGTCAATTCTAGTCATTCTTCTTTTGAATCTATCAGTTCCTCATTATTTCCATATCTACTAGCCTAATCCAGGCCTATATTACTTCATGCCTAAAAAAATAAGTCAAGTTTCCCCAATTACCTTTCTCATCCTAGTCTTTTCAATCCATTGGTTTGCTCTTCCTAAAATCTTTCTTTCTAAAATGTTGCCAAATTAAGCCCTTAGCTTAATGGAGGTCCTTAGCTCAATAGATAATGAGGATACAAAGAGATTTTCAAATGCTTTTTTTTTTTTTTGGAGAGGTTTTCGCTACAGGGCGCGTGCGCTCGCCAGACAGACAGAGAGAGACACAGAAACAGAAAGCGAGAAATCACCACCCAGAGGGGATGGTCACGCCGCGATCCCTTCTCCTCCATTCTCCTCTCGGGATCTTGGGCACGCACGCACATGCGCCTGGCGTGAGTTTTAAGCCACCGGGTCCGGGACGCGAACCTCAGTCGACTACGTGGGAGTCCAGCGACATAGCCATTACGCTAACTGCTGGTTCCCTCAAATGCTTTTTGACCTCCAGGAACTAACTTTGTTGGCGAGATATACACATTAGGTAAAAACCTGGTAAAAGTAGCCACAGCAATCTTTTGTTTGGAAGTAATAAATAGTTTATATATTGTTCACAGTGATAGAAACTAAGCTCTTGGGGCCGGCAGGTGGCGTGGTGGTTAAGAGTGCTGGATTCCCACTTGGCCAACTGTGGTTCGAGTCCCAGACCTGGAGGCTTGCTTTCTTGCTTTCCCTTTCTCTCTCTGTCTCTCTCTGGTCAAAATTTAAACATGATAATAACAATAAATGGAATTAAATAAATATTTTTTTTTTAAAAGAAAGAAACTAAGCTCTTTAGTCTGGCTTTACTATCTGGTGCAAACATATCTCCTATTACTTACCAGCCAAAATCCTCTATTCAGGAAAAACTCGTCTGGTCTTATTACCCCCCTAGATGTGTATGCTCTGCTTATCTTCTAAAGCTATTACTTACTATAAGAATACCCCAATTTTTTCTCTACTCACTTAAGTTGCACTCATCCCATCTTTAGAAGGTTTAAAAACTTGCCCTTACCCCAATTTTTGTTAGGAATGTACCTGTCTTTACACTGCAAATCTCATCTCAAATAATGCTTAGGACTTATTTCCTGCCTCTGCATGGAACACTCAAATGGTGTGGACACAGGGTCAAGAGCTATGTCAGGGACCAGCAGATTGCATAATGGTTATATTGCTGGACTCCCACATAGTCGACCACGGTTTGAGTCCCAAACCCAGGCTTGAAACTCATGCCTGGCGTGTGTGCATGCATGTCCAAGATCCCAGGAGGAGAATGGAGGAAAAGGGATCGGCATGGCCATCCCCCCGGGAGGTGATTTCTCCCTTTACGTCTCTCTCTCTCTAGCCTCCCCCCTACCCCAGGGTGCCATAAAAAAAAAAAAAAAAAAAAAAAAAAAAAAAAAAAAAAAAAAAAGAACTGGGTCAGTACCAACATTTTCTGGTGATAGCATGCATGTATTCTATCCAGGTTACTTCCTTTTTAAAAAAATTACATTTAATCACTGTACATCTTTACAGTGTTTTTACAGATATACATTGTACATCTTTACACTGTACATCTTTACATGGTTTTTCTCAGTATGATATAGTGCTTATTAGTCAAGTCAAGGACATTACTACCTATGTTATCATCAACAGATAACTTTTCATTTTTGTGTTTATTAATGCACTTTTTTTTCTGATTCCCTCCTTCCCACCCCATTACCTCCCCAGTACCGTCTAGGTTTCTTATCTCTACTACCCAAATTGTCTTCCTGTGTTTCAAGCTTTTCAGGCCTGATGCTTCAAGCCTTGCTTTAGTATCTGGCTAGTGATTTAACAACTTAGAAGGAAGAAAAATTGGGGAACATAGGCACCTGCCCCTTACTGAAATCCCAAACCTTCAACTTTTTTTTCCCCTTTGTACAAAGTAGAGGAGAAGGAGAAAATGAGTAAGGTATTATTTTTCCTAATTTTCCCAAGTCTCTGTCACCTATTCTCACTCCCTCTAGCCTTTGATTCTCCTACTTCTATTTAAGCTCTGCCTATTTTCAACACTGGCTTTCTGCATTTGGCCCACTCTCATATACAAAACTCCCAACCTTGTCCCAAATATTCTGTTCAGTTCCAGCTCTTCATCTTGCATCTATACCATGTGACAGAAGGCTCTCATATAAGTAGTCTCTTCTATCATATTTATGAATTTAAATTTTTTGGTATTATTTAACTTTTCACTTTTTAAATATCACTCCAGAGTTTAACATAGTGTCTATTATAGCACTGTCCAAAAGAATCTTTTGTGACTATGGCTTTGTTCTGAATCTGTGCTGCTCAATACAGTAGGTATCTAAGTCACATGTAGCTATTGAGCACATAATATGTGGTCAGTGCAAGAGGAAGCGAATCTTAAATTTTATTCTATCTTAATTAAATCTGATTTAAATATCTGCATGTGGCTAGTGGCTACCATACTGGATAGCTCACTAAGCCTCAGAACTTTATAAATAATTAATAAATTTTTAATTGAAGTTAGTGTTAAGAAATAATAGGAAGGTGATAAAACTGAATAATGAGTACTTCCTTCCCCACAAAAGCCTCTATTTAAGAATTATGGAATGAGGCCAGCAGGTGGCATGGTGGTTAAGGGCACTGGACTCCCACATGGCCGACCATGGTTTGAGTCCTGGACCTGGCGGCTTGCTTTCTCACTTTCTCCTACTCCCCTTCTCTGGTCAAATTAAAAATTAATTAATTAATTAATTAAAGTTAAATAAAAATAATTTTTAAAAAAAATTCTGGCTTTCCCAGTACACAAGATGACAGGTGAAAAAGCTGCAAAACAGGATACTAAGGAGAAGAAACCTGAAGCCAAGAAGGCTGATGCCAATGGCAAGGTTTAAAAGGGTGTCCCCAAGGCTAAAAAGCCCAAGAAGGGGAAGCCCCATTGCAGCCAAAACCCCTTCCTAGTCTGGGGCATCAGCAGATATTCCCGGTCTGCCATGTATTCCAGGGAGGCCACGTACAAGAGGAAATACTCAGCCACCAAATCCAGGATTGAAAAGAAAAAGAAGGAGAAGGTTCTTGTGACTGTCACAAAACCAGTTGGTGGAGACAAGAATAGAATGGTGGTACCCAGGTGGTTAAACTGCACAAAATGCCTAGGTATTATCCTACTGAAGATGTGCCTCAAAAGCTGTTGAGCCATGGCAAAAATCCCTTCAGTCAGCATGTGAGAAAGCTGTGAGCTAGCATCACTCCTGGGACCATTCTGATCATCCACACTGGACACCACAGAGGCAAGAGAGTGGTTTTCCTGAAGCAGCTGAGCAGTGGCTTACTACTTGTAACTGGACCACTGGTTCTCAATTGAGTTCCACTGTGTAGAACACACCAGAAATTTGTCATTGCCACCTCCATGAAAATTGATATTAGCAAAGTAAAAATCCCAAAGCACCTTACCGATGCTTACTTCAAGAAAAAGAAACCATGGAAGCCCAGACACCAGGAAGGTGAGATCTTCGACCCAGAGAAGGAGAAATAACAAGATTTCAGAGCAGCGCAAGACTGATCAGAAAGCTGTGTACTTGCAAATTTTACCAAAAATCAAAGCTGTTCCTCAGTATACATATATATAAATAATGGATTAAGAAAAGGAAGTAGGACCAAAACAAATCTGAAAGATTGAGATGTTAGTAATCACTTTAAACCACAGTGGCAGGCCAGCCAGGTGGTGTGGTGTTAAGGTGATTAGATCCCATATGGCCTACTACATGGTTCAGGTCTTGGACCCAGTGGCTTTAAAAAAACACAGTGTGAGTGTGTGCCCAAAATTCTGACAGCAGAGTGGAGGACAAGGGATTGCAGCATCATCATCTCCCCAGGGGCTGCCTTCTCAGTTTTCTTCTCTCTTTCTGTCACTGTCTCTCTTGGGTGAGTATATGTGCCCTAAAGCAAATTAACCACCACAAAAAACACACAGTGGCAAATAAAAGAGATGTGAACTTTAGTAGATGTCATCACTTTTCCTACTTAAAAAAAAATTATCTATAGGGTGTGTGGGCTTGTCAGAGAGAGACACAGAAAGAGAGTAAAAGAGAGAGAGAGCTTTAGTGAGCATACCCCCCCAGGGGGTATGGACGTGACATAATTCCTTCTTCCCTATTCCCCTCTTGGGATTATGGGCATACATGCATATGTGCCCAGCATTTATTTTCCAAGTTGTTGGGTCTGAGACTAGAACAACACAGTCAGCCATGTGGGATCCAGCTGCATTAATCATCATGCCACTAGCTGGCCCACCCACATTTTTTAATAACATCAAGTGAGAGACAAACATACCTTTATGCCTTCCTTAGGATCCTCCCGTATATTTATTTGAGTGGCTTTCTCACGAGATGGACATAGAAGGTCCAAAATTTCCTCATTGTAGATCTGTTATTATTAAAAATAAAGTAACAAAAGCAAAATGTTAACAAGCAGTAATCTCTGAGTGGTGGCATCATAGGTAATTTTTTAAATTCTTTGTGACTCTGTATTACAAAATTAATTTATAATGAATATATAGGATCTTTATGTATTGTATTTCATTTATTTACTTATTTCGAGAGGGCGCTGGACACTTGTCAGAAACATTTGCCCAAAGGGGTGTGGTCAAGTCACAATCCACTCTCTTCCATTTCTCCATCCTGTCAAGAGTTTGGACATAGGGAACCAGCAGTTGGCGTAATGGTTATGTCGCTGGACTCCCACGTAGTTGACTGCGTTTGCATCCCGGACCCAGTGGCTTAAAACTCATGCTGGGCGCGTGTGCATGTGTGCCCAAGATCCCGAGAGGAGAATGGAGGAGAAGGGATTGCAGAGTGACCATCCCCTCTGGGGGTGATTTCTCGCTTTCTGTCTCTATGTCTCTCTCTGTCTGTCTGGCGAGCGCACGTGCCCTATAGCAAAAATCTCTCTCAAAAAAAAAAAAAAAAGAGTATGGACATATACATAAATGTGCCTGGCATGGTTTTCAAGCAGTGCTGGGATTTGAACCATGCTTGACCATTTGGTATCCAGCTCCCTTAACCACCAGGCCACAGGGTTAGCCCATGTGTTATTTTTGTAATTAAGAAAAGGAGTTTATATATAATCATTAGGAATTTTTACAAGAACCAAGTTGCATTAGTACTTGTAACAAAATTGAGACTGCTCTCCCAAGAGAGTCTCTTAGAAGACACAGAGAAAGCAGACACAGAAAGTTAAATGAGTACCCCAATTCAGTTATTTGGTAGTGTGTTAACAGCATCTCCTTTACTGATTTTGTTAAATTGTGAATAACGAACCTTATAGGGGAGTAGAGATGGGAAAGCAAACAGAAGAAGGAGCAAAGAGTATCATTAGCTAGTAGAACTTGAAGTACTTAGAACAACGTTTAGCACATAGCAAGCACTAAATTCGCTTGCTATTATTTAACATACTAACTCCTGATTTATTTTTATATTCAATTACCTTAGCCATAACTGAGCTAATCAAGAATTAAGAATGCTAATTTTTAAATTTTTTTTAGAGAGAGATTTTAGCTATAGGGTGTGAGTGCTCGCCAGAAAGAGACAGAGAGATGGAAAGCGAGAAATCAACCCCCTCCAGGGGGGATAGCCACACGGAAATCCCTTCTCCTCCATTCTTCTCTCAGAATTCTTGGCCAGCCAGGTGGTGTGGTGTTAAGGTGATTAGATCCCATATGGCCTACTACATGGTTCAGGTCTTGGACCCAGTGGCTTGAAAAACACACAGTGTGAGTGTGTGCCCAAAATTCTGACAGCAGAGTGGAGGACAAGGGATTGCAGCATCATCATCTCCCCAGGGGCTGCCTTCTCAGTTTTCTTCTCTCTTTCTGTCACTGTCTCTCTTGGGTGAGTATATGTGCCCTAAAGCAAATTAACCACCACAAAAAACACACAGTGGCAAATAAAAGAGATGTGAACTTTAGTAGATGTCATCACTTTTCCTACTTAAAAAAAAATTATCTATAGGGTGTGTGGGCTTGTCAGAGAGAGACACAGAAAGAGAGTAAAAGAGAGAGAGAGCTTTAGTGAGCATACCCCCCCAGGGGGTATGGACGTGACATAATTCCTTCTTCCCTATTCCCCTCTTGGGATTATGGGCATACATGCATATGTGCCCAGCATTTATTTTCCAAGTTGTTGGGTCTGAGACTAGAACAACACAGTCAGCCATGTGGGATCCAGCTGCATTAATCATCATGCCACTAGCTGGCCCACCCACATTTTTTAATAACATCAAGTGAGAGACAAACATACCTTTATGCCTTCCTTAGGATCCTCCCGTATATTTATTTGAGTGGCTTTCTCACGAGATGGACATAGAAGGTCCAAAATTTCCTCATTGTAGATCTGTTATTATTAAAAATAAAGTAACAAAAGCAAAATGTTAACAAGCAGTAATCTCTGAGTGGTGGCATCATAGGTAATTTTTTAAATTCTTTGTGACTCTGTATTACAAAATTAATTTATAATGAATATATAGGATCTTTATGTATTGTATTTCATTTATTTACTTATTTCGAGAGGGCGCTGGACACTTGTCAGAAACATTTGCCCAAAGGGGTGTGGTCAAGTCACAATCCACTCTCTTCCATTTCTCCATCCTGTCAAGAGTTTGGACATAGGGAACCAGCAGTTGGCGTAATGGTTATGTCGCTGGACTCCCACGTAGTTGACTGCGTTTGCATCCCGGACCCAGTGGCTTAAAACTCATGCTGGGCGCGTGTGCATGTGTGCCCAAGATCCCGAGAGGAGAATGGAGGAGAAGGGATTGCAGAGTGACCATCCCCTCTGGGAAAAAAAAAAAAAATCAGAGTATGGACATATACATAAATGTGCCTGGCATGGTTTTCAAGCAGTGCTGGGATTTGAACCATGCTTGACCATTTGGTATCCAGCTCCCTTAACCACCAGGCCACAGGGTTAGCCCATGTGTTATTTTTGTAATTAAGAAAAGGAGTTTATATATAATCATTAGGAATTTTTACAAGAACCAAGTTGCATTAGTACTTGTAACAAAATTGAGACTGCTCTCCCAAGAGAGTCTCTTAGAAGACACAGAGAAAGCAGACACAGAAAGTTAAATGAGTACCCCAATTCAGTTATTTGGTAGTGTGTTAACAGCATCTCCTTTACTGATTTTGTTAAATTGTGAATAACGAACCTTATAGGGGAGTAGAGATGGGAAAGCAAACAGAAGAAGGAGCAAAGAGTATCATTAGCTAGTAGAACTTGAAGTACTTAGAACAACGTTTAGCACATAGCAAGCACTAAATTCGCTTGCTATTATTTAACATACTAACTCCTGATTTATTTTTATATTCAATTACCTTAGCCATAACTGACCTAATCCAGAATTAAGAATGCTAATTTTTAAATTTTTTTTAGAGAGAGATTTTAGCTATAGGGTGTGAGTGCTCGCCAGAAAGAGACAGAGAGATGGAAAGCGAGAAATCAACCCCCTCCAGGGGGGATAGCCACACGGAAATCCCTTCTCCTCCATTCTTCTCTCAGAATTCTTGAGCACGCATGCACATATACCCAGCACGAGTTATAAGCTGCTGGGTCTGGGACTTGGACCATGGTCCACCATGCGGGAGTCCAGGGACATAACCATTATGCCATCTGCTGGCCCCAAGAAGGCTAATTTTAATGATGTTTAACTCCCCCTCTTTCAACTCTACACTACCTATACTTGTTAACACACTGGGATTCAATTTCAGTATGAAGTATTCATGTATAATTTATAATATTTTTTAATAATTTAATTTTATTTACTAGTAGTATTTTTAAGTTTTTGCTATAGAGCACATGTGCTCATTAGAGAGAGTGAGAAAGAAAGAGAGAGAGAGAAAGAGAAAGCAAGCCACCAGGTCCGGGACATGAACTATGGTCAGCTATGTGGGAGTCCAGTGCCTCAACCATCATGCCACCTGCTGCCCCCCAATTTTAATTATATGTTTAAATTATATAAGCTTAATTATTGCTCCTTAAGAGTAGGACACCATAGCTATGAAACCTACCTGCTAGTTTCCCAGAAGCCATAAGTTCCCTAAACATATATTTTGTTGTCATGAGGTCAATCTACTTGCATACTGATAGACACTAGAATGTAAGCTGCCATAAGGAAAGGGATTGTCATCTGTTTTGTTTACTAATAAATCCCAAGTATCTGATATATCCGAGTGCCTAAAACATAGGAGGTACTCAACGAATACCTATAGAATAAAACGCACCAGTTACATAGCAGAATATTTCTACCCAATTTTACAACATACATAGAAAATAGCAGCATTATCATTAAAGCCTCAAATCCTTAAAGAGAAACCAAAAACTGTTCTGTAATCTCTACAGGGAATCTGTAATAGAGGTCAAACTAGAATTAAATAATTCCTATTATCTTTTTGGCAATGCTGATTCTTCTAGCAATCAAATTAAACAGACTATTCTAACAACAAGGAAAAAATTGAGTGGGATTCAGATCCAATCAAGCCAGTAAATTTCTATATCAATTTATTAAAATGCAATTTACTAATCTGTATCATGCCCAGAAAAGACTGATTTCAATTTTTTCTACCTAAAGATAATTTTGAATTTAAAATAATTAAAGATAAATCACTTACCTCCAAGTAAGACACTTTCAGAGTAAATTCAAAGTCACTCTTTCTATTAATTTCTTTGAAGAGCAGTTGTATTACCCTAGGAATGACACCGACTGTTGGTTCATTTTCTTGCTCCGCAGTGTATGCACCTCCCATTGAATAGGTTTTTCCAGAGCCAGTCTGTCCATAGGCCAGGACTGTAGCATTATATCCTGAGAAAATAGAAATCATATGCATAGTGGTATTCAAATATTTTCATTCAATCAACATACTCCTTTTCATCCAGCAACTACTTGCAACAAAATTGAGATTGCTTTGTTAAGACTCTTAGGAATTGCAAAGAAAAGTTCTGTGACTTTGCACTACTCAAAACAAGCAAACAAAAACACCAACACCAAAATGCATCCCCCTCTTCATAGCCCTTAAAAGCATGGAAGTAAAACATTTGAAGATATGACTGAGATAATGAAGGTGGCGAAGCCACTGTCAAAAGCTATTAAAAGCTTTATAAATCTACTGTTTCCCTATCTCAAACAATTCTAAGTTATGGGAATTGAATGAAATTCTTAGAAGCTGCATAACTAGGAGGGATTCTGGTATGTGTTTCCATAATAGTCTTCATTTGAAAAGGCAATGACATTGTTTTTTTACAGTCAAGGAAATCATCTACTCCCTATCCGAGCTTTCAGAATGTATTGCTATTTGGAACTTATCATCAGGCTTCTCACAGTGGTATCATTTAAATACGATTAAATGTGATATATGACCTTTGCTTTTATAGAAGACCGATAAAGAATCATCTTTTCAAAAATGTTCATGATACAGTTAACTGAAAAAAAAATCAAGTTAAAAATCACTGTTGAGGGACCAGCAGTTAGCATAATGCCTATGTTGCTGGACTCCCATGAAGTCAACCACAGTTCAAGTCCTGGACCCAGTGGCTTAAACTCACGCCGGGCAGATGTGTGTGCGTGTCCAAGATCCTGAGAGAAGAATGGAGGAGAAGGAATTGTGGCGTGGTCATCCCCCCGGGGGGTGATTTCTCACTTTCTGGCTCTCTCTGTCTTTCTGGTAAGTGCATGCACCCTATAGCAAAAACTCCTCAAAAAAAAAAAAAAATCACTGTTGAGGGGACCAGCAGATGGCATAATGGTTACATCACTGGACTCCCATATAGTCGATCTCAGTTCGAGTCACAGACCTGGTAATTTAAAACTCACTTTGGGTACATGTGTGTGCATGCCCAAAATCCCAAGAGGAGAATGGAAAGAAAGGGATTGTGGTGTGGCCATACCCCTGGGGAGACTGATTTCTCACTGTCACTCTGGTAAGCGCATGTGCCCTATATCAAAAATCTCTGCAAACAAACAAACAAACAAAACAAAATAAAGTGTTGAGGACAAACCCCATAGCTGTGCACTGGGAGCCAGACCCCACGTGGCCAAGTACAGCTCAAATCCTGGCTCTAGCAGCTTGAAAAACACACTGGGTGCCATGTGCATGTATGCACAAAATCCTGATGGGATGGAGAAAAGGAAGAGAAAGAATTGTGGTGTGATCGTACCCCTTGGGGGGTGTTTTCTCACTCTCTTCCCTCCCCCAAGTGAATGCACTTGCCTTTTGGCAAATTAAAAAAAAATTTACAGCAAAAATCCCATAAAATAATATCATAGGCAAGTCATAGATGACACATATCACATATATATTGGGTCTTCAGAAAACTTATGACATATTTTTGTATGCAAACATGTGCCATGACTTTTCCAATGACCCAGTATTTCAGTGCGTGTGTGTGTCTATGTTTGTGTGTATTAATGGCACAAATGCTGATTATCTAGTAAAATAAAAGGGCTCTTAGTCACAAAAAAACTACATCACTAATTCAATAGAACTTAGCAAATATAAAATGTTACACGGAGAAATTTCAGATAACTGATAAAAATATAAGAGGATTAAACTCACTAATAGTTAAAGAGAAATGGTAAATTTATATAGAGAGAGTTCAACTGGTGCTGGTGGGAATGAGAAAAAGGATATACTTGAGACAGAGAGACAGAAAGCGAGAAAGCAAGAAATCACCCCCTGGGGGGGCTGGTTCTGCAATCCCTTCTCCTCCATCTCCTCTTGGGATTTTGGGCATGCACACATACACACCTGTCATGAGTTTAAGTCACTGGGTCTGAGATTTGAACCATAGTCAACTACATGGGAGTCCAGCAACATAACCATTACACCATCTGCTGTTCCTGTGATTGACATATAAAAGTTATAAGGTAATGTTTATACTACAATTTTATATCTGTAGAAAATATACAGACAAAAAAAATTCCCTGAAAATGTGTGTAAATTCTTGTATTGTTTCTAAGTACATGAAGAATATATTCTAAGATATTAACTATATCTACAAAGAGAAAAGTAGGTATTCAGATGATTACGATTTCATTTTAAGTCATTCGCTCATTTCACTTATTGTTACAAGAATATATTGAGTCTCTTGGATTGGGCTGTAGAAGAGAAAAAGTGTATTAGTGGGAAAGCTGATGAAATCTGAATATATTATTATATCATATCATCTAATATTTAATAGTTAATGTACTACGTTAATTTCGTAGTTTTGACAAATTGCGTAAAATGTTAACATGAGGGGAAACTAGGATAAAGGATATACAAAGATTTTTCTATACTGTCTTTGTAACTTTTCTCTAAATCCAAAATTATTCCAGGACCAGCAGATGGCATAATGGTTATATTGCGGGACTCCCACAAGGCCAACCACAGTTCGGGTCCCCTGGTGGCTTCAAAATCACACCAGGTGCCTGTGTGTGCATGCCCAAGGTCCCTGGAGAAAGGATTGCAGCATGGCCATCCCTTCTGGGAGGTGATTTTTCACTTTCCCTTTCACTGTGTCTATCTCTCTCTGGTGAGCACATACACCTTAAGCACTTATGCCTTAAGGTAAAAACCTCTTGAAAAATAAATAAAATTATTCCAAAACAAAAGGTTATTAAAACAATAAAAAAATAGACACTGGAAGTTCTTCTAACAGAGATACTACTAGAAAGAATTTTTCTTTGGATGAAAAGTTAAACTAATTGATGTACAAATGTGCTTTTCAATTTTAGGGCACTACTGTGTTCGATTTCTACTTCTTTTAAATGGACTTGTGCTCTGAACTGCCAATAGCCACTATACTAGAGAAATGCTTAGAAATAGCCACTATACTAGAGAAATGCGTAGATATTTCTCAGGCACTGCTCTCTTTAGAACCCTACTAAGATCTTCAACAATATTAAAGCCTTAGCTTCTGCAGTAAAGATTGCTAACTGGCCAAAGTATTCAGAAGTCTTATGAAATCCCCTTCTCCACCTAAAATAATTCTATTCATCATTCAAAACCTATCTCAAAGGTTCCCCATCCTGTGAAATTCATCCTAAATCCCCCAAGCAGAGTCAGTGCCATGCTTTTGTTTCTCATACCACCTTGTATGAAAGCAGTGCTGGGGCCAGCAGGTGGTGTGGTGGTTAAAGGTGCTGGACATTCCCACATGGCTGACCGTGGTTCGAGTCCCAGATCTGGTGGCTTGCTTTCTCACTTTCCCTCTCTCTCTCTCTGTGTCTCTCTCTGGTCAAATTAAAAAATAAATGAGTGGATAAATAAATAAATAATTTTTTAAAAAAAGCAGTGCTATTTTTATAGTAGGATTGACTCTGCTGTATATTTTTAACTTTTAAAATATTTTTTCCTTAAAGACAGGTATAATAATTTTTTGCTTAGTCATCTGCCTCAACTCCTAATCCCTGGACTTTGAACTCTTTCAGGGCCTGGGAGCCATCTCATTTACCTCTGAATAAATAATACTGAATAATACTTGAGGTCTGGGCTTCAAGTAGATTGGCACACTGATCACCATCAGCATGCACCAGAGAGCTCATAATCTTATGAGGTTCCAGGACAATCAAAAATACATACAAGTCAAAGAACCACATAAAGCAAATACAGAATAAACCTGTTTCCAGGGTACAGACCTAAACAAATGTTATTAGGCTGTGAACTTTTTGGAGGCAGAAATCATGTTTCATTCATTTCTGTATTTGCAGTACCCAAGCACAGGGCCTGGCACATAGTATATGCTCAAGGAATGCTCGATTAATTAAATAGCCTCACCTTTAAATATGCCTTTTATAAGTGGTGCTACTGCTGTATTGAAGACTTCTTCCTGTTCAGTAGAGGGGTCAAACACAAAATCGTAGGTAAAGGATTTATCTGTACCAACCACCACCTAGAGAAGGCAGGGACAAGATGTAAGGAAAAAAAAAAGAAAGAAAGAAAAGGTTAGACCACGCCCCTTACTGCCATTTGGCTCGGGCTGTTCAGAGGCCCAGGGCTCTGCTACTCACCTGCGGCTCTCCCGGCACGAAGGAAAGGCACATCTGGCAGCCTTCGCTAATCTCTTTGGGAACCAGAGGGCGACAACGTAGTGCCACTCTTACAGGAATCGCCTTCACCTCGTCCTTCATCATCCTACCTCCGCAACGTCTCTGTCGGGGGTGGGGGGAGAAAAGGGGGCTTGCTGATGAATGTTGGTGAGTCGGCAGGGGCGGGAGGGTGTCCTCCTCAGTTTGGCCCGCCTTAGGGGGTAGGGTGGGTGAGGGAACGCAGCCATAGCGGTGGCAGCCAACCCTTCCAACAGGATCACTGCCTCAGGAGATTCATTCTCCCGCATTCTTGGCCACCACAGGACTTCCCGACAGTTCGACACTGAAGTGGCGTCTGAACTGAAAACAGAATTCCAACTGAGACTGCAATAACGGGCCAAAGTCCCGGGGTACCGGGCAAGGCAGATTCTGAGCAGGATCACTGCCTCAGGAGATTCATTCTCCCGCATTCTTGGCCACCACAGGACTTCCCGACAGTTCGACACTGAAGTGGCGTCTGAACTGAAAACAGAATTCCAACTGAGACTGCAATAACGGGCCAAAGTCCCGGGGTACCGGGCAAGGCAGATTCTGAGCTAAGTTGTGCCCCCTTAACTCACCGAACTAAATGTCCCTTCCCCGGTCTCCTCAGGTCTTCTGCCGCCCTGTTTCAGTCAGAGCTTTAACCGCCAAGTTTCAAATCGGTTACAGAGTTGGCTTGCCCGGCCAATCGGAGCGCAGACAGCCTGAGGTCGGAGCTCGCTCGTCAGCGGCGGCGCGCGCAGGATGACGCGTTGGGAAGGGAGGGCCTTATCGTCTCACCCAGGCCCGGCCCCTTCTCGTCCCAGCCGGGCATCCGCTTCCGGTTCCCAGACTAATTTGGCGGTGAGCGGAACCTGAGGTAGTTGAGGCCTTCCGGCCGGTGAGGTACTGCGGCGTTTACACGAACACTAGCGCGAGACTTAGGCAAGATATGGTGCGGGGATCTGGAAGGTGGTTGATGGTGTTGGAAGGCTCTATCCGGGGACTCTACTATTACCAATCACATCTAGGGAACGTGGGGCGGTGCCTTACCCCGTGCCTGTAGTTGGAGTCATCACTTTGGACTTCGGAAGTAGATACTTTTAGATGCAGCCCTGATTTCTCTAGGATGTTGACGGCAACGTCTATTTTGTAGGATTGAGATTCTCTTTCTTAGATTACCTAGCAGGCTGCTCGACATCCAGATGTTCAGCAAAGTTGATAGTTTTTTCTTCCGTCTTTTTTCCCCGTCTGTCTTCCAACCTTAACACTGAGATGTGAGCTGGGCGGTAGACTGACAGCCTTGGAATGGGTGGTAGCTGCTTTCTGAAGTTTGCTGGGCTGCTGTTCCTTTGAACCACTTTTGCCCATTTCCGTACATCCTTCCACCCAGAGCCTTGCTGGGGATGGACAGCCGGATTCCCTATGATGACTACCCGGTGGTTTTCCTGCCTGCCTATGAAAATCCCCCAGCATGGATTCCTCCTCATGAGGTGAGCACCCTCTGTATTCTCAAGTAGGGAATTTTTCCCCCTGAGCATGAGATGATGCATGAAAGGTAGTATAACAGAGTTAGAAAGCTAAATAGAGAGTGAATCTTAGTCCTTTTTGTAGCCAGAGGACCCCAGAAGCTGGATTCTGAAGAGTGAGACCCATTAGGAACTTCTTAGGGAAATCTTTTGCTGGGTCTATTCACACCAGTGAATTTTGAAAACCCAGAGCCCTATTTTCCATTCTGTCAAGAGGTGAAAAAGTGGAGAGCTACTGGGCTGCTGCTTACATGTCCCCAAGCTATTCATCTACTCATTTGGACAGAATTATCTATTCTGCTTAAGTTAAGGGCATGACTTTACCTTCTCCTGACTTCAGGGTGTTGCATTAGTGTTCCAGATAAGAGTAGGTGTGAAGTCTTAAGACTGGTAGTAAGAGTTCTGAGGTTGCTGTGTCTTGCAGAGGGTATACCACCCAGACTACAACAATGAGTTGACTCAGTTTCTGCCACGAATCGTCACACTGAAGAAGCCTCCTGGAGCTCAGGTGAGCTTGTGAAGCATTTGCCTCTCATTTTAGGTTAGACTTGTTTATATCAGGCCCATAAGTCAGCTAGGAGTGGCTAGGAGGTGGCTGGGAAACCATACGAGAAGATGGGGAAACTACTTATTGAAGGCAGAAAAGCTGCAACACCACATCCACAACTCTGGCTTCTCTTTGAGGGACATACAAGCTGAGCTATTATGCAGTGATGTTACTAGATGTTCTTGTGTTTGTGGTTTATATTGGTCCTCCATTCTGTGCTCTTGTCTTATAGCTGGGATTTAACATCCGAGGAGGAAAAGCTTCCCAGCTAGGCATTTTCATTTCCAAGGTAGGTAATATGGACGGCTACTTCTCTTCATTATCATATTGTAGAACCCTGATGTCAAGGGCTGAGAAAGATATTTTGGTGGATTCATAGAGGGACATAAAGGGGACACTTATTTTCCCAACAAAACTTTCTACCTGGCAAGCCATGTATCTCTCAACATTGTTGCAGAAAAAACAGTAGTGTTTTATATTTGAAATTCAGTGATTTGCAGCTTAAAGGTTTCTAAAATGATCCTATCCTCATAACATGTATTCTTTCCTTACCAATAGGTGATTCCTGACTCTGATGCACATCGAGCAGGACTTCAGGAAGGGGACCAAGTCCTAGCTGTGAATGATGTGGATTTCCAAGATATTGAGCACAGCAAGGTGAGCAGAGCACTTAGACTATGGTGATGCAAGAATCCATCCCAGGTTGGGCAGGATTAACCTAATCTGTAACTTGATAAGAAAGCATTTTTCCTGGGGGAGGCATCCCAGAGGGAAGCAGCTGTTAATGACTGAGAGGTTGCAGTGGCAGATCTCTTTCTTCCTGTTATGATTTCTGTCCTGGGCCATATTTTTTCATTTGTACAAGCTGCTGTGTTCCTTTCAGGCTGTTGAAATCCTGAAGACAGCCCGTGAAATCAGCATGCGTGTTCGCTTCTTTCCTTACAGTAAGTGCCACTCCTTTTTACTTACTTGGCAGGGTCCTAGATAAGAACTCTTTAAAATACTGTTGATTAGAGGCCCCAGCAGTTGGGGATGGGGAATTGGGAGCTCAGGTGTGAAAATAACCTGCTCTCTTCCTCCTTTTCTTTCTTATTTCCCTCAGATTATCATCGCCAGAAAGAGAGGACTGTTCATTAGAGAGTTGCAGCCCACAGCCCTCCACATGGAATCTGCCAGGCAAGCTGGCTAGGCCCCAGGGAAGCCACTTGGGAAATTATTCTCTCAGCCCCTTCCTGGCATAGTGGAGTTGGGAGGATGGGGAGATCTGTGCTAAGCCAGCTAGCCAGCTGAGGACCTGTGCTGAGCCAGTTAGCCAACTGCATTACCTAAACTGTAGTGCACTTTGAGTTCTCTAATTTCTGGGTTGAGCTTCATTCTCTGAAAGGAGAGGGATGAGGATGTCCAGGTAATCTAACCTGTGGGGACTGTAGCTTGAAAAGGCATCTGACTTTTATTGACTATTCTGTGCGTGACACTTAGACATGTCATATCATCTTAATTAGAGTATAAAAATCAGTGGAAAAGGAATCTTGGGAGCTTTCCATCTGAATTGCCTGGTCATCTCATCCCATCTTTGTACTACCAGAGATCTTATACACTTTGGAGACTCCAGTTGGACCCTGTTTTTGCCCCTTCTTCCTATCCTCTCCTCCAAAAAAGTAAAATAATACAATGCTAAAGAAATGTTGATTTGGCTTTTGACTGATACTGATTGGATAAAATGCTATTGAGGCAAGAAAAAGCTTTTCTAGAAAGAAAAGCCACTGCCATATTATACCCACTTCACAGCTATGTCTGGCCAGAACATTAGGGAGGCCAAGGGACCTTAGCTACACTAGGAATGACATAGGGTGAAGAGTACTGGAAGAAATAGTGCTTCTTCCCGTAGGATCTTTGGGTGTTTCTCTGCAGGGGACAGTATTAATATAATTCTTTTTTTTCTTTTCCTAAATTCTTTGATATGGAACATGAACCAGGGATGGGGTTAGATTCATTTCTTTTCAGAGGCAGCAACAAGAAATTGGTTCCTGTTTTCCAACTTGTAGGTTGAGTGGTACTAACTGCTAACATCCTCTTTTTTTCCCAGTCTCAAGTAACCTTATACTGTGCTCTTAGAGCTTTAGTTAACAATCCATTGTTAAAGAATGCAGGTCACCTTATGCCATCTCCACTGGTATGTTCAAAACCCCCATTCAGAATTGAAAGTGTTCTAGTGTGGTATGAGATGAAATGCCCCTATGATGAAACCCCAAAATTTGCTTAGTATATATTTCTAGACTCTTCCCCTGAAGTGTAATTTTGTCGGTTTGAGATAGAGCCTACAACTGCAAACAAGCAAAGTAAGCCAGTCTTCAAATATGGGAAACTCTATCCTAAATAGCAGTAACATAGCTCTATGAGGAAGTTCTGGCTCTTTTTTTTTTTTTTAGACCACAGATTAGTTTTAACACCCATCATGCCATGAATTCATAGGAAATAGGTTCCAGACGCTCAGGCTCATTGGTTCTCACAAAGTGTGCTTCTCTGGGTGGAGCAGGCTGGTGCTTTAGTTGAACCCAGGTACCTTTCTCTTTGGCTTCTTTCTTTTTCTGGTCATTTTCCTTCACACGTTTTAGGAAGCTATCTCTGCTCTTAGAATGTTTGATATGCTCAATACACACATTGATTCTCTTGGCAAGAATCTTGCCCTTAACTTGTTTGTTCACAACAATGCCAGCAGCATGCTGGGTAACACTGTAGACTCTTCTAGTTTTGCCATGGTAATGTTTGTGGGGCATTCCTTTCTGAACAGTACCCATTCCCTTAATGTCTACAATATCACCTTTCTTGTAGATTCGCATATAGGTCGTCAAAGGAACAACTCCATGTTTCTAAAAGGCCTAGAGAACATATATCAGGTGCCTCTCCTCTTTCCTTTTGTGTTCGTCATTTTGATTAATTACTGGAATTCATTCTGGCCAAAAGGAAGCTGGCTCTTTTCTATAAATCCCACTGTAGCTCCTCTAAGGAACCACTTTCAGAAACTCAGTGCTGATGTCAGGTGGCAATATCCCTTGTAAGCAAGGCTGCAAGTAAAATTAGCTTAGTTGTCTATGCTTCCTGGGAAATCTATTTAAAGCTCTTATTTCTTCTGCTCTCCCCAACCCCATGGCCATCTGAGGAAGAAAATAGAGACTTAGATACTTCCACAAAACCATATTGGCATGGGACCAGCAGCTAGCATAATGGCTATGTCGCTGGACTCCCACGTAGTCGACTGCGGTTCGAGTCCCGGACCCAGTGGCTTAAACTCATGCTGGGCGTGTGTGCGTGTGTGCCCAAGATCCTGAGAGGAGAATGGAGGAGAAGGGATTGCGGCATGGCCATCCCCCCTGCCCAAGATCCTGAGAGGAGAATGGAGGAGAAGGGATTGCGGCATGGCCATCCCCCCTGGGGGGTGGTTTGCCTCTCTGTCTCTCTCAGTCTGTCTGGCGAGTGCACGTGCCCTATAGCAAAAACCTCTCCAAAAAAAAAAAAAAACATATTGACTGAATGTTGAGGTCTAAGACATCTCCCATGGTTAAGAGGTTTTAAAGAAGCTCATCTAAAAAGTCTGGTAAACATGGTAAGAACTCCCAGTGAGGTGCCATAGGCCTAAGAAGCAAAAACCCTCCTGCCTTAAGTTGATTCTCACTTTGATGTACTTGGGATGGTTCTGTGTTTGGGGACCACATGGAGCAATTACACTGTGGAGGTATAGATATAGTGTGGAGAAGGCATAAACAATAACAGGCTGAGGCTAAGGGACCTGTCATTTATTGAAGGATTATATAACAGTGGAGAATTAATTGTATTGGCCTTATTTTTTTGGAGAGGTTATTTTTGCTGTAGGGCACTTGCAGTCGCCAAAAAGACAGAGAGACAGAAAGTGGGAAATCACCCCCCCCAGGGGGGATGGCCATGCTGCCACCCCTTCTCCAGGAACCTTGGGCATGCATGCACACACACCTGGCGTGAGTTTAAGCCACCAGGTCCAGGACTTGAACCATGGTCAACTACATGGGAGTCCAGTGACATAACATGGTAAGAACTCCCAGTGAGGTGCCATAGGCCTAAGAAGCAAAAACCCTCCTGCCTTAAGTTGATTCTCACTTTGATGTACTTGGGATGGTTCTGTGTTTGGGGACCACATGGAGCAATTACACTGTGGAGGTATAGATATAGTGTGGAGAAGGCATAAACAATAACAGGCTGAGGCTAAGGGACCTGTCATTTATTGAAGGATTATATAACAGTGGAGAATTAATTGTATTGGCCTTATTTTTTTGGAGAGGTTATTTTTGCTGTAGGGCACTTGCAGTCGCCAAAAAGACAGAGAGACAGAAAGTGGGAAATCACCCCCCCCAGGGGGGATGGCCATGCTGCCACCCCTTCTCCAGGAACCTTGGGCATGCATGCACACACACCTGGCGTGAGTTTAAGCCACCAGGTCCAGGACTTGAACCATGGTCAACTACATGGGAGTCCAGTGACATAGCCATTATGTCAACTGCTGGTCCCAATTGTATTGGCCTTTGAGGTATCTTAACTGCTGTAGAACTAACTGCATTCCCTTTAGATGTCTTTCAGCTGTTAGAGAAGGGAGGGTGGAATTCCCTGGTGCTGCAAGAAACTTTCACCCAATAACTGTAAGATACAACCAAGAAAAAAAAAATAGCATTTTGAGTGGTTCCATTTCATTCCTAAGCCCAGGAATTTCAAGAGAGTAAGTGACCAGGTATTTAAACCATAAACTGGGGGTGGAAAAGAAGAACCTATATGGAAAACTCAGATGCAGTAAGTTTATCAAATGAGGCAAAGAGCCTAAGCTATCTACAGGAACATTGGCTCGTGATGCCTGACTCCTTGAAGGGTTCCAGTTGGATTTCAACTACTGAAAGTGTGTGTTAAGGAAGGTAATAGAATAAGGTGACTGGAGTTAAATCTCAACACCAGGAAGACACAGAAGAAGAATTTGGATCTTATGATTCCCTTTACCTAAAAGCAACCCAGAAAGCTACTTTGGCTTAAAGATAGTTCTGTTTTTCTATAAGTACCACTCGGGCTAAAAAACTGGCCTTGTCATCACCTCAGGAAAGGAAGCTGGCCTTCTCTACTTAGGCACTCCTTATCCCATCAAAGCTAGGAGAAAGGATACTCCTCTCTTCCTTCAGGGGAGGTGAAGTACTTCTGGAAGGAAAGGTAGAAGCTACAAACTGCAGTAGTTGTATATGTCTATATGAATGGTGACAAGCAGAATAAAAATAGGTTCAAAGGCTTAGATGATTCTGGGCCTTTTGGCTGCATGATGGAGAGATAAATCTTGCCCCTACCTTACAGTAGGATAAGCAAGCAAAGTTATTCAGAAGATTAAATGGTGAGTAGCTAGAGATGGAGTGCAATGGAAATACTGTAAAGAGTATTTGTCACATTGTCACATTGTAACTGATTGCTGGTCTCAATAAACAAATTGAAATCTTTGGATTTTTCTTTACCCTATTTTGCAGAGACTTGTTTGGACAACTGAGAAGTGGTAAAAAGGACCAGATAGTAGTAACTCAGTTAGCAGATAATGATAGTACCTTCTGAGGTGTAATGATGCTTTTCTAGGATCAAGAATCCTAGAACTCATGACCTTTCTGATCCCTGACACTGGTAACTCCTCCCCAAGTCAATAGAGCACAGTAAACCCTCCCCACAGAGATTGTATTTTAGGTATGCCAGAGAGGTAGTTAGACTTCACCTTTTATTGTTCAGATCAGTCTTGTTACACACCAACATCATCATCTATGCCCATACAATTTCTGCCCACTTATCTGTCTCCTTGAAAGAACTGATACGTGTAAGAGAGTATGTTGCAGAGTTGAAACAGTAAAGATATAGAATAATGTGCCCGTCCTTCCGCTCTGTGAGTTTTCCCAACCTCCCTATCACTTCTCTCATAATCTCTTTTTTCTTTGCTTGTGTGTGTGTGTGTGTGCTAGTAGGCATGTGCACTCAACAGAGAGAGACAGAGGAAGAGGAAAAACACAGACACACTCATGGGGAATGATCACACCACAATTTCTTCTCCATTTCTCCGTCCCTTTGAGATTTTGGGCACATATGCATGTGCACTCTATGTGTTTCTCAAGCCACCAGGTCCAGGACTTGAACTGTGCAGTTGGCCATGTGGGATCCAGCTGTTCCAGTTTGTTCCACCAGGCCATGAAGCCAGCCCATAATCTCTTTTTCAAACAAAATAACACATAACACCCACTTTTGATATAGACAACCTCTGCAATAGTTGAATCACAAAGGTAACTGAGAATTCAGCTTTAAAAATGCTTCTGGCTAGCTGTATCCCATAGCTACAGCTGAACCTTTGTAAAACAAATGTTTAGGGAGAATATGGGAAAGGTAGAAAATTTAAACTGACACATTTTAGTTATTAATGGGCTAGTATCATATTTAATACATGTATACAACATATAATGATCAGATCAAGGTAAATCTGTTACCTCAAACAGTTGTTTTAGGAATGTTCAAAATCGTCTGTTCTAGATATTTTGAAATACACAGTAATTATTAACTATGGTCACTCTACTGTGTTATAGAACAGTAGAGCTTATTCCTATCTAACTGTATTTTGGTACCTATTATGTCCCCTTTATTTTTTTCTGTTCATTCTTTAGTCTCTAGCAACCACTGTTGTATGGTATACTTCTATGAGGTCAAGTTTTTTTTTAAGTTCCACTTATGAGTGAGATCATGCAGTGCCTGTCTCTGTACTTGGCTTATTTCATTTAATATGATGTCCTCTAGGCTGCCCACGATGCCACAAATGACAAGATTTCATCCTTTTTACTGGTTGAATAATATTCCATCGTATGTGTGGAATATACACTGAAGAAACTGTCCTTTTTGGGGGTAATGTTTTATTTATTTATTTTAGAGGGATTTTTGCTACAGAGTGTGTGTGCTCAATAGAGAAACAGAGAGAGTCAGAAAGCAAGAAGTCATCCCTCTCCCCCAGAGGGATGCCCATGCCACAGTCCTTTCTCCTCCATTCTCTTTGGATTTTGGGCATGCACATGTATCCCATGTGGGTTTTAAACTGCCAGGTCCAGGACTTGAACTGCAGTTGACAACATGGGAGTCCAGTGATGTAACCATTATACCATCTGCTGTTCCCAGTAATTTTTTAAAATAATTACTTATTTTTTTAAGGGACCAGCAGATGGCATAATGGTTACATCATTGGACTCCCACGTAATCAACCACAGTTCAAGTCCTGGACCCAGCAGCTTGAAACATGCTGGTTGTGTATGTGTGCGTGCCAAAGAACCCCAGAGGTGAACAAAGGAGAAGGACTTGCGGTGTGGCCATCTGCCCTGGGGGGGTGATTTCTCACTTTCTGTTTCTCTTGTGTCTCTGGTGAGCATATGCTCCCTATAGCAAAAATCTCTTAAAGAGAGAAAATTACTTATTTTAAATTTTATTTATTTGTTGTTGTTGTTGTTGTTGTTATTATTTAAATTCACCAGAGAGAGAGGGAAAGTGAGAAAGCAAGCTGCCAGGTCTGAGACTTGAACCATGGTTGACCATCTGAGAGTCCAGTGCTTTAACCACCATACTAATTGCCAGCCTCAAAACTAGCCTTTTAAAAAGCTACCACCTGGGATCAGCAGATAGCATAATGGTTATGTTGCTGGACTCCCATGTACTCTACCACAGTTCAAGTCCTGGACCCTGTGGCTTAAAACTCACACCGGGAGCATGTGTGTCCGTGCTCAAAATTCTGAGAAGGAATTGTGGTGGCATTGCTGTTCCCCTTGGGGGTTGTTTTCCTTTCTATCTGTCTGTCTGTCTCTCTGGTGAGTGCATGCACCCTATAGCAAAAAAAAAAAAAAAAAAAAAAAAAAAAACCAAGAACAAAAAACCTCTCTAAAAAAATAAGAAATAAAAGCCAGAACCTAATAAAGGCAGAATAAAGAGTCAAGGAGCCTGGACCTCATGAAAATGGCTGCTGTGTCCTTAAATAAGCTATTAACAGTGCTAGAACAGGTTCAGCTGACCTCATAATACTGTTTCGATTTAAAGATTCAAGTCCTCTTGAACTCAATCTGTGTTATAGCTGGGGATTAGAGGAGGGCAGGAAGAATAAGAAACATTGTAGAATTTGGTAATTTGGGGAGGCTTCAGTTTCTTCCTCTTCTTTACCCACAGATGATGTGAGGTGGCTACCCTACTGTGATGAACAGACCTAGGGTTGAGGTGTAGAGTTATTGGTATGAGAGTTAACATTCATTATTTTGTCCTCCAAGTACATAGTACTAGACAACATGTCAATTTTAGCCATTTCCTGACAAAGCAAGTCAGATACTCCTAAACATCTCCCACCCCCAATACCAGTTAGTCTTTAAACCAGAAGTGGAGCCTGCCTTGAACAGGTTGTTTTGGCTCAACTCCCCAGAGCTTATCATAACTTTGAGGAGGAGAATCATGTGAGTTGGGCAAGGAAAGGGGCAAAAATGTACCATGTGACTCCTTAGTGGTGAGCTCACCTGGCAGATGCAACCAAAATTGTCACACATGGAGAAGATGATGATCAATGTTATTCTCACTGTGAGGGAGATCCTTCTCTTCCTTTGTATGTATATGAACCCCAACTCTTCACACACATAAATACACCAAACTTTCCCAAGAAGAATTCAATTTCCCAGAAAACTGCCCCCCCCCCTCCCATTCTATACCATTTACACCTTCCTATTCACAGAGCCCAACTTAGACCCTGTACCAGTCTCCCAGGAATATGAATTTGGATTTGGACAAAGTATAGTATTCAGGTGGGTCTCTTGCAGGTCTCCAGGCTGAAGCCTTTAGCCTCCCTCTGGACTTCACAGGGACTCGGGCAACACTGGTTTCCTGTGCTTGGCTCCTGCCACCTGACTTCACATGGCATTCTCTTCTACTATGGTTGACAACCTTCGGCTTCACATGCATCCCTGAAGTGGCCACGCCCCCTTGGCTTGCCGTGGGGTGATATTCAGGGTGGGGTAATGGGGTGGGGCAGGATGGCCAGGGCCACAGGAAAAGCAATGATGGGAGCTTGGTGGCAGTGTCAGAGGGAAGTTAGGGGCAGCATAGGGGAAAGCACATGCTAAGAGTAATCTTCACTGGGGGAGTGGGGTCCTTCTCAGTTGTTCCCTTACCCTCCAGGAGGAGGAGATACCAGAGATCACCAGGCATGTCTGGACAAACCAATTTATTTGAGCATTATAGTGGGGACGCCCACATAGAAGGGCATCTGAGCAAGGAGCTCAGCTCTCCTTGTCTTCCTCCGCAGAAGCCTTCTGGCCCTCCTCCCCTCCGTCGCCCTGTCGTGCAAATTCTTCAATGACAATGTCCTCAGAGCTTGCAGAAGAGGGAAATGGAAGTTTAGGAACCCCTTTCTGAGTTCCCTCCACATTCCCTCTCTCCCTTTTCTTGATCCTGAGGAAGTGGTCCCTTTCCTGCTTCTCAGCTCAGCTTCTTGGTCCCTCTCAGCAGCTTTTCCACCCCCAACCCCTTCCTACCCACACTAAGCTTGTTTCCTTCTGTTCCCTCCCAAATCTGACATAAAAGTCCCCCAGGAGTGCTGAAAGAGAAACAAGAACAGAGAGTGGGAAGGAGAAAAGGGATCTAAGAATGAAAGACTGAAATATGAAAGAAGTAAAGGCGAGGGGGCCGGGAAAAGGAAAAAGGAATGGGGGGAAGGACGATTCCAAGAGCAGGGGGAGGGGAGCTGGGGATACAGAAAGGAAAAGGAGGGTATATGAAAAATCACTAAATTATGATGAGAAGCTTAACCATATGTTTCTGCTTCACATGTATTAAAAGCAATACCCCAAGGAAGCTTTTTTTTACATTTCTACCGTCATAAAATAGAGTGGTAATGAGGAGAGGGAGATGAGGTTCTAGGCCTCCTATTCCATTACCTAGCATCTTCTGCAGCATAAAGAGGAAGGGGAAAAAATGGAGCTGAAGCTGATAGGGGGCTCTTCAATTCCCTGAAGAAATGTCTTTATTCATCTCCCTCCCTTCCAACCCTTCTTCCACACACACAATTTACACACATCTGAAACCCTAAATGCCCAACGAGCCTATTCCATCCCTAGCAAACTGCTAGCCTCCAATTTGTGAGATCAGAACTGCTTGGCCACAACCCAAGACAGTCATTCTTATAAGTCCCACCTGGTCACTTACCATTAGATGGCTTGGGATGCATCAGGATCAGGGGCAGCTCCACACCAACATCACTGCAAGGATCCCAAGATAGATTTCCTGATTTCCCTCCAAGCCAGATTCCTCAACTGCCCTCCCTTGGCTTTCCAGTACTAGGATGCTCTCAGACTCTCCCTACTCACTCTTTTGGTCTCCTTATCCCATTATCTTCCCCTTGCCTCACCCCACACTCTCTTACCTGGCTGTCAGGTCTCCTAGGATGCTGTAGGTAGAATGACAACCAAGATTAGCAGTTGGTTAGCAGTTTTACTAGAGATTGAAGGATCATAGGCTAATTCAGCCATAGAATGGGTTCCTGGAAATGAGCTCACAGATTTAAGAATCTGGTCTGGGAGAACAGGTGGGGATTGGGACCCCTCCCATCTAACCCTAGGGTCAGTCCAACTCAGAGAAAAACAGAAGTGAGAAATCCTTGGCCCTGCCCAGACAGACCCTGAACCCTCACTCACCCTCCGCCAGACACCATCAAGTTGACCCTGACTTTGTAGGACACAAGGATCCCCAGCAGCTCTTTGTCCATTCCAGGTCGAATACTGGAGATTGTAGCATTCATTTTTGTTTGTTTGAGGGCAAAAAAAAAAAAAAAAGAAAATTAATTCAGTTCCTCAATTCCTTCCTGTGCATTTCCATAACCATGTTCTAATTATCTTGTATCTTCTCCCAGATAATTTCCTAGGCTCTAATCTCTCCTGTACTTTGAGACCTCATTTCTCTCCCTAAAATTCTTCTTTACCATGTCACCCTCTGCCAAGAGCCTAACTTATTGACTCTAACTGCTCTCCCCGACTTTGAAGACTCTTAACAATCTGACCCCATCTAGTCTCTCTGGCCTTTTCTGCTTTAACTCCCTAACATCTGAGATACAACCTAAGTGGACCCATCCTGTCTTGGTACTCAGAACATGCCATGTGGAACCCCACCTTCTAGCCTTTGCCCATGCTGTGCCCCCAGACTGGAAGCTCCTTTTCTCCTCTGTTGATATCTAGATCCTACACATTCTTTAAGATCTTGCTCATTCTAAATGTCTCTTCCTGAAAGCCCTCACCAGCTATGGCTGGTTTACTTTAACTTCTATTGGATTTATAATCTGAAGCACATTTTTAGTACTAACATTTAACTGGTAGATTATATTAGCATTCTTCTTTGTTCCTCATCCAGGCTATAAAGTGACTGACAGCAGAGACTGTCTTAAACTTCTTTGTATCCCCCACATTGCTTAGCATGGGAATGAATTTGTAGCTGGTGGGGGAGGGGGGAACCTGCTGATTGAAATATAAACACTGAAAACTGTAAGATCTTAGGAAAGTCTCTTCACTGCTCTATGCTGATCCCAGATATATGAAATAATGCTGTTTAGATTAGTTCTAAGGGTATTTCTAGGAATAATAGTATATAGCTCTTAATTGATAAAGCATGGAGAGAAATGGGGGATCATTGTTTTTCACATAATGGCAGATGGCTTTTGGCAGAAGACATCTAACCCTAGGGCCTCCAAAGGCATAGGAACAAATGAATAACTTCATAGAATTCTATCAATTAGTATCACATCATTCTCCCTTTTTTCTTCCTTTTTCTTCATTTCTCATTTTCCATTTTTCCAATTTCTTTTGTATTTTCTCTAGAGATCATAGTATTTAGAGCCAGGTGACATGTGATAGAATCCTGTCTACCTCTGCAATCTGTTAGCTATGCAACATTGGACAAGTTCCTTCTTCTTTCTGAGCACAGGGTCTTTAAGAGTAGAATGGAATAAGAACACCTGTATCGCCCACTTTAATGGGATTCTTACAAAGATAATGTAAACACATATGTAGGTGGACCTTTGTGAGCTGTGAAATACTATACAACATAAAGATTTTTTTTCCTCTCCATGTTTTTCTTTCTTGCTGCCTATGACCTAAGTCTGTCATAAGTCCCTTGGACATTATTTAGCTTACTGCTAGTCCTCAGGCCTGGAGGAGCCTCTGAACACTGGCTGGATGCTTCCTACACTAGGGACATTTTTAAAAATAGGTAGGCTTCACTGAAGATGAAACCTCAAATATGTATATATGGCATGTGGAATGGGTTAATCATAGGAAATGGAGGTTGGGAGTTACACTGAGCTTACATTGTGCTAGAAGCCAGGTTGGTATCTTCATGCTTGAGTTTGCCATCCAGTGCGAGGCCCTGTTTCTGAGAGTTATCAGCCAGAAGTGGGGTTACTGAAAAGCTCTGGGTGAAGTTGGAGTTAGCAGCTACAGTCTCCCTTTGAAAGGAGAATAAGAGAAGAACGTAGGCTAGGCTTGCCAAATAAGTACATTCTCACTCCCAGCAGTATCTTGCATAATCCTGAAAACCCACTAGAGTATCTAAGAGACCTGACTTTTTTTTTTTGGAGAGGTTTTTCTACAGGGCATGTGCGCTCGCCAGAAAGACAGAGAAACAGAGAGGCAGAAAGAGGGAAATCACCCCCCAGGGGGGTTGGCCACGCCACAATCCTTTCTCCTTCATTCTCCTCTTGGGATCTTGGGCACACACACACATGCGCGCCCAGTGTGAGTTTAAGCCACCAGGTCCAGGCCTTGAACTGCGGTCGACCACTTGGGAGTCCAGCGACATAACCATTACAACAACTGCTGGTCCCGAGAGCTGACATTTCTAACTGTGAAGAGCGGGAGGAATTAGCTCTGGGGGGAAATCTTTAACATCGGTTCTCTTATGGGTAAGTTGGGTCCCCTCCTTCTAGTTCTCCTGGGGATCCCTCCCTTTCTCCACTTCAGCTCTCATTTTGACCTTCCTCATTCCTGGGCTCCACCCACTTCTTTCCCTGACTTTTTCTGCCTTCTGGCCTACTTTCCACCACCTTACCCCTTGTCTTTTTGACCCCTGCACCAGCCCCAGCACCAGCTCACGTGAATTCCTGAGTGAGCACGGTCTTGGTATACTTGTCTAGTGAATACATGACGACATCTGTGATCTGGTCAACTGAATAAGTCAGGAAAAGCACATGAATATAATCAGTCAGTCATCTCTGAGACCCCAACTCACTGCTCTGAGATGTAACCTTATATATAGGCATATTTTACATGATTCAGTAAGATATGATCATGGACAAATAAAGATATGTATTTTGACAAGCATGCATTGGAGGGAAAGCTGCAATGAATGCTGATAAGAGGGACAGAGTTTTGGTAAGAGGTCTGTGGCTTTGGAACCAGGTAAAGGGGGGTGGGAAAAGAAACTCACCTGAAATCTTGATTTTTTTGATGACCTTGTTTGTGTTGTTATTAATAGAAATGTTAACAGAGATGGGTTCGCCATGGTAGTGAACCTGAAGCAAGAAGAAAGGCTTATCAGAAGGTTCAGGGAGAATGCCCACAAGAAGACATAGAATTCTTTTTTCCTTAGCACTATCACTGTTCTGAATCCCATCTCAGCCCACAGAAATAGGAAATCAGTGGAGAAAGGGCATCTGAGGAAATCTGAGGTAGGGGCCAGGAAATGGTTGAGTTCACAAACCTCCTTGTCCATCCAGGCCTGAAGCTGTAGGGGCTGAGCTGACAGAAGGAAGCGGCGCACAGTCTGGGCCCAGGGTCGAGCACCTGGCTCTGGTGGTGTAAACTGTATTTTCCGGACAACCAGCCGCACAGAGTCTCTGAGTGAACCAAGGAATTAGCTAGAATATCTCCACTGGAACTCACAGATTTCTTCCATGCCACCCCCATAGCCCAGTCCTTGCTTGGGGTGGAGGAGTGTGGGGAGGTGTCCCTTGGAGAATCTCTCTAGATCCTCAATGGAGATATCTAGACCAAGGGTTGGCAAAATACGGTCCACTGGTCAAATCTGGGTTACTGCCTGTTTTTATATGTCCTACAAGCTAAGAATGTTTATTACATTTGTAAATGGTTGAAATAAACCAAAGAATAATAATATTTCATGACACAGGAAATCTAAATTTTAGTGCCCACGACTAGAGTTTTATTGGCACACGACCATGCTCATTTATGTATGTACTATCTATGGCAGAGTTCACATTATAATACCAGAGATGAGTAGTTGCAACAGAGATTATATAGCCCATAAAACTTAAATATTTGTTTTTTGGCTCTTTATAGAAAGTTTGTTGATCCCTGCCCTAGAGCAAAGAAAAGTCAGAGAAGACTCAGAACTTGGCATTTGAGTTGGGTAATAATGCTATAGGTTTAGAAGTAGGGCCATTTCTGCCATGAGAGTAGGATCTGTTTCCTGGCAGGGGATAGAGGCAAGAATTGGGGACAGGAAACAGAGTACTTCTTGGAGACTTTCTCCTCCACGTTTTCAGCACAGAAACTCTTTACTTCAAAGTCAACTCCACAAGCCTGTAAAGGGGCAGAGGCAAAGAGAGTTCATTTCCAGTGTTGTCCCTTCCTTCTTTATGTGCCTATCATAAAATATCTAACCTCATTCCTTAGCTATCCATTTCTCCAGTATTGTCCATTGTTTCTCTGTTCCTCTTCCCTGGCACTATCCATCATCTCTCCCACTTTTTTAGAACCTGGTCTTTACCTTTCCTGCATCTTCAGGACCTGGCTGCAGCGTCACTGAACAGGGCAGATTGGGAACCATCTATGGGATCAAAAGGATGTCAGTGAGTGGAAGAAACAGAGACCCCCTTCCTCTGTTCTCCTTCATTAGCTTCCTCTCTTAATCTTCCCTAGAAACTTTGCCTAGGACTTGAGGTCAGTACCTGCAGAGTAAAGGGGTAGGCATTGTCCCCCAACTTGTGCATCAGTCGCTCCTGTAGGACTGTGAGGGGCTCCTGGTTGCTGTTGGGTTCAGCTGGGATCAATTGCTTGGCCTGTACATACAGATCTTTGCGAAATGTCAGACCAATAACATCCAAATCGTCACGGCCATAGCGAAAGGCACATGTCAACGTGACAAACACTGCAGGCAAAGGAAGAGAGTCATCTGTCTCTGAGCCCTGAGTGGGAAAGGAGATCTTAACTAGATTATAGGAAGACATAGAGAGACAATTTAATAATGATCTAAAGAGTATGACCATAAAGAAAAAATGCATTTGATTACAATGCAATTTAAAATTTTTTATGTTGAGTCTTTATAAAGTTTTTTTTAAAAGAAAAGCTGAAAAGAAAATATTAGCAACACATATTAAAAATGTATAAAGTTTTTAGCATCTAGAATATCCAGAATATATAACAACTCTCCCAAATCAATAGTAATAATAGGCCAATATGAAAGTATGCAAAAAAAATTTGAGTGAACTCTGCAGAAGCATAAAATGAAATGGCCAATAACATTTGAAAACAGGTTCAGCCTTACTAATAATGAGATAAATGTAAATTAAAATTGCAATAAGAGGGGTCATAGGGTGGTTCAGC